CAACAGGCTAAAGAAAAGTCATATGATCATATAAAATAGAAGCAGAGAAAGCATTTCACAAAATCCAACATAATAAATAATCTCAACTAAAGGAGTTCCTCCTCAAATTGATAAAGAATAACTACAAAACACCTATAGCTAACACTATATTTAATCGTTGAGAAACTAGATGCTTTCCCCACAACACTGAGAATAAAGCATTCCTATTCAACACCACATTGGATGTGCTAGCTCAATCAGTCAGGAAAAGAAAAAGAAAAGAAAACAGAAGAAGGTAATAATACTGTCATCATTTGCAGATTACATGACTGCCTATATAGAAAGTCCCAGCTGGGCTCGGTGGCTCAGCCTGTAATCCCGTGCTTTGGGAGGCTGAAGTGAGTGGATTGGCTAAGCCCGCGGGTTTGAGACCCACCTGGGCAACTTGGTGAGACCTCATCTTTACAATAAATCAAAAAAAAATTAGCCGGGCGTGGTAGCGCACGCCTGTAGTTCCAGATACTTGGAAGACAGAGGCAGAAGGATCACCGGAGCCCAGCAGGTTGAGGCTGCAGTGGCCACAAGAGGCCACTGCACTCCAGTCTGGGAGACAGAGTGAGACTCCAACTCAAAAAAAAAAAAAAGAAAGTCCCAAAGAATCAACAAGCTCCTGGAACTAATAAATGATTATAACAAGGTTGTAGGATATAAGGTTAATAAACAAAAGTTAATTGCTTTCCTATATATAAGCAAATAACAACTGGACAGTGAAAGCAAAAACATAATACCATTTGCATTAGCCTCAAAAAAATGTAGTGCTCAACACAACAAAATATGTACAAGATCTATATGAGAAAAACTATAACCTGTAATGAAAGAAATCAAAGAAAATATAAATGAAAATGACAAGACAGTCCATGTTCATGGATAGAAAGATTCAACATTGTAAAGATGTAGGTTCCTTCCAACTTGATCTACATATTCACACCAATACAAAACAAATCTCAGAATACTATTTTATTGAGTCAGGGTCTCACTATGTTGCTGGAGTGCAGTGGTACAATCATGGCTCACTGCAGCCTCAACTTCCTGGGCTCAGGCAATCCTTCTGCCTCAGTCTACTGAGTAACTGGGACTACAGGCCCATGCCATCATGCCTTGCTAATTTTTTAATTTTTTTGTGGAGACATGGTCTCACTGTGTCTCCCGGAAAGCTATTTTATAGATACTGGCAAATTGATTCTAAAATTTAAAGACAAAAGACCCAGAAAAAACAACAAAAATACTAAAGCAGCATAAAGTTGGAGAACTGACATCATCTACCTTTGAAATTAACTAAGAGCTACAGTATCAAGAGAGTTCCTAAGTAACTTTGGAAAAAGGAGTTTGTAAGACTAAAGGCAAAATGAACTGCACGTAAGTACTACACTCTAGTCAATCAAGTTTTATCCAGCAAAAAACAGCTTAACAATTCTGACATCGCTCTACAGGTATACTGGAATTAAACAATTACGTAAATGCCCAACAAATCGTCAGAGCCAGGTCTCCCGCTATTGGCGTGGATATCTACAAATCAGCAAGAGAAGGAACCCTGAATTATCCATGTGGTAATAGATATGAGTAGAAGACATCAGTAGACACTCATAAAGATATCAACTCTATGTTAACTTATAAATGTAATTACATTAAAAAATAAGAATAGATTTTCCTAAAACTACACAACAAATAAAGTTGATATAGTTCACACAAATAATAAGGTTCATATTAAACAAGAAAACAGCCATAGAACACCTGCAAAACAGTAGATGAGCAATAAGGGAGGACCAGCTCCCACCAAATGTCAAAGCGTATTACTGAAGTCTCTATAATTAAATCAGCAGCAGTCGGGTATAGTGGTTCACGCCTGTAATCCCAATACATTGGGAGGCCAAGACAGTAGGATCATTTGAGCTCTGGAGTTCGAGATCAGCCTGGGCAACACAGTGAGACCACGTCTCCACAAAAAATAAGAAAGTTAGCCGGGCATAATAACATGCGTCTGTAGTCCCAGCCACTCAGGAAGCTGAGGCGGGAGGAATCTTGAGCCCAGGAGTGCGAGGTTGTAGTGAGCCGTGATCACCCCCTCTGCACTCCTGCCTGGGCAATAAGGCTATAGACGCCATTTCTAAAAGAAATAAAGCAGTGGGGTGCTTACACATGAATACACAAGCAGAAACAAAACAAAATACTGAACTAGAATAAAATTCAATGATAAGATGTAGTAATGATGAAGGTAACCTCACAAATCAGGAAGGAAATATGAACTTTATAATAAATGCTGTTGAAACAACTATACAGTCATTTAGAAGTACAATAGATCTGTGTCTCACTCTATACACCAGGTTAAATTCCAAATGAATCAGAAAACTAAGTATAAAATATAAAAACACACAAGTAGAAGAAAACACAAACAATGCTTTACCACCTGACACGGAGAAGATACTCCCTAAATATAATTCAAAATCCAGAAAACACAAAACTTGACACATTCAAGTAAACGAAAATGTAACTTTCAGAAAGGAAGAAATGAAATTGTTCCTATTTTCAGACAGCATGATTTTCCTATAAAGAAAAATCCCAAAGAATTTACAAAAAAATTTCCTAGAACGTATTAATAAGTTCAGCAATGTCCCATGATACAAGATCAACAAACAACACCAAATGCATTTCTATATACAAACAATAAGTACGTGGAACCCAAACTTAAAAGCACAAAATAATTTACAATTGCTTTAAAAAAATGAAGGAAAGGTATATTTTAACAAAACATGTACAGAATGATTTGTATCCTGAAAATTACAAAAAGCTGATGAAAAAAAATTTTAAAAGACCTAAATAAGCAGAAAACATATCATATCATGTTCATGGACTGGAAGACTCAACATAGTAATGATGTCAATTCTCCCAAAATGAACTATAGATTTAGTATAATTCCTATCAAAATCCCAGCAGACTTGTTTTAGACATAAACAAGTTTGCTATAAAATTTATACGTAAAAGCACAGGACCTAGAATGGTAAAAACAATTTTTTTTTAATGGGAAGAAAAAGCGTGGAATCATTCTACCTAATATTCAAGCTTACCACATTATAAAGCTACAGTCATCTGCAAAGTATGTTAGCCGAGGGACAGACACATATCAAATGAACAGCCTGAAAAAGACCTATATAAGTATGTCCGGTTGATTGTTTTTTCAAAGGTATAATTCAACAAAGGAAAAACAACCTTTGCAACAAATAGTGCTAGAGCAATTGGACATCAAGAGGCTGAAAAATGAGCCTTGGTCTAAAGCTCACACTTCAAGATTTTTAAAAATTAGTGAATCCTGGATGAAAATATGAAACATAAAACTATGAAACTTTTAAAAATAAGCATAAGAAAAAAAAATCTCTGGAGTCCAGGACCAGGCAAAGAGTTCTTATATGAAAAGCACAAGCCATAAAAAATAAAATAAATGATCAAAAAACTGGACCTCAGCAAAATTAAAGACTTTTGCTCTAAGACAGACCCTGTTAAGAAATGAAAAGGAACAGACTGGGACAACATCTCTGCAAACTACATATGCAACAAAAGACACAGCAAAATATACAAAGTACTCTCTACACCCAACAGCAAAAACAGCAAACAATCCAAACAGAAAATGGGCTAGCCATGAACACACATTTCACAAAGCGGCGATAAAGATGGCAAAAAAGCACAAGGGAAGATGTGCAAATCATCAGCTCCTAGGAAAATCCAAATAAATAGCACAGTCAGGTATCACTAAACGCCTACTATCAGACTAGCTAAAATAAAAACCAATGATGACAGGGAACCCTGAAGTTAGCAAGGATTTAGAGAAACTGGGTCACTCATACACTGCTGGTGGGAAAGAAAAATGGTATACCCATTCTCGAAAAGAGTATGGCAATTTTTAAAAAACTATCCACTTGCCACACAACCCAGCAACTGGACTCTCGGGCATTTATCCCACGGAAATGAAAGCTGAGGCTCAAGCAAAGACCTCTACACAAATGTTTCTAGCAGCTTCATTTCTAAAAACCCCAAACAAGAAAGAGCCCAGATGCCCCTCAACTGGTAAAGGGCTAAACAAACAGCAATGCATCTAAATGAATGGATGCACACGTTGTTGCTCATATTTTGCAAAAAAAAAAACAATGGAAGGATGAACCAAAAGCGAATAAAAACAGTTCCCCAGAGTCAAGGGGATGAAAAGCACTGAAGGGACAGAGATGGAGGCTGTAGAGGTTAAAAGCGGAAAGAGCTGGGCTGGGTGGTTTAGCCTGTAATCCCGCGCTTTGGGAGGCCAAGGTGAGTGAATTGCCTGAGGCCACGGGTTAGAGACCCTCCTGGGCAACTTGGCGAGACCTCATCTCTATAATAAATCAAAAAAATTAGCCGGGCGTGGTAGCGCGTGCCTGTAGTTCCAGATACTTGGAAGACTAAGGCAGAAGGATCGCCGGAGCCCAGCAGGTCGAGGCTGCGGTGGCCGGGAGCAGCCACTGCACTCCAGTCTGGGCAACAGAGTGAGACTCCAACTCAAAAAAAAATAAAAATAAAAATAAAAGCAGAAAGAGGCCAGGCATGGTGGCTCAAGTCTGTCATCCCAGCACTCTGGGAAGCTGAAGCGAGAGGACTGCCTGAGCCCAGGGGTTTGAGACAAGCCTGGGCAACTTGGCGAGACAGCATTTCTACAATAAATCAAAAAAGTAGCCGGGCATGGTGGCATGCGCCTGTAGTTCCAGCTACTTGGAAGGCTGAGGCGGAAGGATTGCCTGAGCCTAGCAGGTTGAGGCTGCGGTGGTCATGATTGTGCCAGTGCACTCCAGCCTGGGCAACAGAGTAAGATTCTGACTCAAAAAAAAAGCAGAAAGAAGCAAAGGAATCCCAAATAACTAAGAACAAATGAAAATGAACCTTAATTGCATATCAAGTTGCTGACACAGTCAACTGGAAATTTAAAAATAATTATTTCAACTGACCTGAGAACACAGCACTTTTACTGCCCTCAGTGGAATACGTGCTAAGAAAAACAAGAACATGCAAAGAAATGTTAAACTTCACCCCAGTAATAATGTTGATGTTATTACTTTAAAACTAAGTTTTAAACATATTTATGTGTACCACACACACAGAGATAGATAGGGTCAAGAAGAAATTATGTTAAGTGTTGATGTTAGGAAACATTTTCCGGTTAAGGAAAAAAATAACAAGTATAAAATGAAAGAAGTTACAATCTCATATCAAATTTGAACTGGAAATAGCAGTAACTCATATTTTTTCTAAAACAAAAAAATTGTTTCCTAGCTATATCCCCTAGAAGAGTCTAAAAGAAATGACAACCTGGTAGCAATAAGCATTCCTAGTTTCCATTTGTGCACACCAAACATCATTCCCCTTAAAACATAATAGATAAAGGGCACCTTCCAAGGGCAAAAAGCAAGAAAATAAGGAAAAAGAGTCATGGAGCCAGCCTGAAGGGACTCCCCCAGACTAAGGAGGCACAATCTGGCATCAACAAGAATGACTACTGAAATCATTTGAAATACAATGAATATACAAAGAGCCTAATGTGCAAGCTTTTCTTTTTTAAAAAAAGAAATAAAAGCAAGTAGGTACCTGGAGGATCATGAAAAGGAAGGAATGAAGCATTCGTCTTGCTTTTCTAGGAGAGCCTCGGCTCAGAGTAACCAAAAAGCTCAAATAGATGAGGGAAAATTTTACCCAGAAAAACCACAGCTAATAAATGTGAAAGGAATGACAGGATGGTAAAATCCATCTACCTCTACTGACAGAGTTTATTCTAACAGTGATCATCTCTGCATATTAACACCACGCAAGAAAGGTAGATGGGAACCTTTACAAAAAAGTCATCACCACCAAATTTTGTGCCTCCTGAAGTGACACAACACAAAGCACATGGCACCACCTGGGAGGCACCTTTTCAAAAAACTGATCCAAAATCTAAAAACCCCAGTATAAACAGAGTATGACAAACAGGGGAATTAGTCAAATGCCACCACACAAGTGCAACTGGACATATCCACAATGTGGGAGCCTCTTCCAGACACAAACCTGGTTTCTTCAACAAATCAGTGGATGAAAGAAAAACAAAAAGATGAAGGGAAGACTCTTCTTGAGAAAAAGAATCTTAAAGAGGCCTAACAACATATACAATGGGTGTTTGGATTCTGATTAACTATAAAGATATTTTTTAGGAAACAGAAAATCGAAGATGGCCTGAGTTATTAGTTGTTATGAGAAAATTACAAACAAATCTGTCAAGTAAAATAATGGCAAGACGCAAGTTAATGTGTTTATTATCACCAAGCAGTTGAAAATATTTGGGCTAATAGCAATCATCTCTCAAGACTCAAAGCACTTTGGGAACACCCACCTACATACACACTCCACACAAATGAATGGAACAGTCACTGGGAAAAGAGAACAAAATAAAACAAACATTCCTTTACAGAAGAATGAGAAGACAGGAAACTCTCACTAGCCAAAAATCAAACTAGAAAGCCAACTAATATGATTTGGTGTTTCCAAAAAACAGAAAAATCTGCGGAGACATTCATAACAAAATAGTCTTCATTACTGAATACATCAGAAGGCTTTAACTATCAATCTTTTGAGAAATTAAATGACTGGCCATTCAGAATAGATTTCAAAACTAAGAAGTGCCCCTTCCTACCTAAAGCAAAGATGATTAAATTTGAACATTATCTTGAAGAGGTTTACTGTTTAGTTTACAGTCTTCAAACCTCAGATAAAATAACATGTTCACAGAGGGATTACAAAGATTTAAGAGGTCAGACTGTTTCTAAGCACTCTCCAAGGCTTCATTTATATGCAATTAATACTACTAAAGCAATCACTGCCATGCTCTGATTATATCAAGTTTTCAAAACATCTTTGTTGGGCAACAGCTCAGTTTAATATGAGCCACAATATGTTTGTGGGGAGTACGTCTCTTTAAAAAGTTCTCTGTAACATCAGCTATTTGCTATCCTGGGCCAAAGAGACCTAAAGATCTAAATCCCTCATTTTGTATAAAAACAGTAAGAGGGCCAGGTGCAGGGGCTCATGCCCATAATCCTAGCACTTCAGGGGCCAAGACAGGAGACATGCTTGAGGCCAGGAGTCTGAGAAGAGCCTAGAGAACTAGCGAGATGCTGTCTCTACAAAAGGCAGAAAATTAGCCTGGCGTGGTGGGGTGCACCTGTAGCCCTAGCTACTCAGGAGGCAAAGGCAGGAGGATCGCCTGAGCCCAGGATGTTGAGGCTCTGTGAGTCGTGATCCCACCACAACACTCCAGCCTGGGTGATAAAGATCTCCACTCAGACAAACAAAGGATAGAGAAACTAAACGGCTGATCTAAAACTACCAATGATTGGCATTCGGACTGGGACTAGAATTCAAGTCTCCAGTCCTTGTCAGTGTTGTGTCTATACCACACTGTTTCAACATTCACGTTTTCCTTTTCAGCAGACCTAACTTTTTCCCCCAGTGTAACACAGTAATTTAAATTGCACTAGCTGGGCTCAGTGGCTCAGCCTGTAATTGCACGCCTTTGGGAGGCTGAGGAGAGTGAATTGCCTGAGCCCGCGGGTTCGAGACCCGCTTGGGCAGCGAGACCTCATCTCTACAATAAATCAAAAAATCAGCCGGGCGTAGTAGCGCGCATCTGTAATTCCAGCTACTCGGAAGGCTGAGGCGGAAGGATCGCCGGAGCCCAGCAGGTCGAGGCTGTGGTGGCCGGGAGCGGCCACTGCATTCCGGTCTGGGCGACAGAGTGAGACTCCAACTCAAAAAAAAAAAAAAAAAAAAAAAATTGCACTAATGGTGATAGGCCAAACCAACATGAACTGATCTAAATCTGTGTATTTAATGAGAACTCCTCTCTCATCCCAAAACAGGTATCTTTCACCAAGGTCATAAAGTCCTACGGTAAAAAGCATTATCCAAACTCTGTTCCTCAGAAGCACTCTAGGGGATCCACAAACATTTTTTTTTTTTTTTTTGAGT